GTCCCTGCCCGTGGCAGGGGGTGGGACTGGATGATCTTTAAGGTCCCTTCCAACCCAAACCATTTTAGGATTCTTTGATTCCATGAAATACCAAAGGAACAGGATGAGGATCAAGCCCCGGGACACAGGAACAGTGTCCTGTTCAGTGCCCTCCAACAACCAAACCCTGATTTCCAAGAGAACTCTGGATGGTTCCCTTGTAACAGGCTCATTCCCAGCTCTGCTGTCACGCTCCAGCCAGGGTTGGAGCTTGTGAGATTCCCAGAACTTTGACCTTCAGCTCCCAGACCTCCATCCCTGGTCTTTTTCTCCACTTTATCCCTGTAACATCTGCTGTAGTAAACACTTCCCTGGGAGAAAAAAAAAAAACGAATAACACAAATTTCCTGTGATTAATCGTGGCTATTTTGGGACCACTTCTCACCAGCCTGCATCAAGATGAAGTGGCTGGGAATATTAATTCCCAGGGCACAGCAGCTCAGGAGTGTTATGGATCCAGCTCAGCACAGCCAGCCACGAAGACTCCAAGATAAGAACAAGAAGGGAAATATTCCTTGAAGGCTCAAGGAATTTGAAGAAGAGCAGTGGGAGAAGGTAAGTGACCATTACCAAGGTGTTTATCACCTTTAAATGGGAAAGGATTCCAAGAAGCCTCTGCTGGGAAGAACAGGGGACAGGGACAACTACGGTTTAATTACAACCTGATTTTAAAAGGGATTTAATTAAGCCAGAGCAAAAGGCAGGCAGACCAGGGGGTGGGGTGAGCTAAAAATCAGGCTTATGCCAGCTTTAAATTAATTAGGAAGAGATTTAAGCTAAACCAAACAAAAATTAAGGCAATTCAAGCCATTGAGCAAGTGGACCATGACAAGGCCTGGCTGAGAATGTGCAAATTCACACACACTTGTGGTCCAGCCCACTGCAAGTTTAGGCTCAAACTATGGATTTTCAGTCTTTTCATGCCCTTAATTTGACCTTTTAATGTTAAAGAGCCAAGATCCACATGGGAGTAGCTCCTGCACCTCAGTGACATCAGCCACCAGCAGTGACAGCTCTGCTTGTGCTCTGCTCAGCACAGGCACCTTTTACATGCAGTTGTAGGGGTTTACAACTTACAGGAAAAGACACAAACAAACCAACCCCTCATCTAAAATCCAGTCCTGGCTGGAAAAAGCCAATGGATGGGGGATTTTGGCAGGTTGTATTCATGGAACCAAAGAATGGTTTGGAAAGGGTTGGAAGGGACCTTGAAGATCATCCAGTTCCACCCCCTGCCACGGGCAGGGACACCTTCCACTAGCCAAGGTTGTTCCAATCTGGCCTTGGACACTTCCAGGGATCCAGGGGCAGCCACAGCTTCTCTGCCCAACTTGGGCCAGGGCCTCACCACGCTCACAACCAGGAATTCTTTCCCAGTATCCCATCTAATCCTGCCCTCTGGCAGTTTAAAGCCATTCCCTCTTGTTCTGTCTCTCCAGGCCCTTGTAAATATTCTCTCTCCATCTTTCTTGTCGCTTCTTCAAGCACTGGAAGGTCACAGTTAGGTCACCCCAAAGCTTCTCTTCCCTTCTCCAGGCTGAACAATCCCAGTTCTCTCACCTTTCCTCCCAGCAGAGCTGCTCCATCCCTCTGATCATCTCGGAGCCTCCTCTGGGCTCACTCCAACAGCTCCACGTCCTTCCTGTGCTGAGGACCCCAGAGCTCAATGCAGAACTCCAGGTGGGATCTCAGGAGAGTGTTGGAGGCCCATGATTGGGGTAATGGTGTAATAAACCCTGGCTGGGCTTTAAAATTACCAAATTCAAGAGCGGGAAACAGCGATTTTTAGCCCTGATGCCCTCACATGAAACACCTCTGAGTTCCAATATTTAAAATATTGCAGGGCCAAGCTCTGACATCAGCACATCCCTAAGGATGCTGTTAATAAGGATGTCCCAGAATTGCCCAAATGGGCAATGGAATAAAACATCCCAAACACATCCCACACTCCGTGACTGCACATACACAAACTGAGCTGCCCAAGGCACAGAAGATGTTTAGGATCATAATCATTTAGGTGGGAAAAGACCTTTAAGGTCATCAAGTCCAACCTGTGAAGCTGCAGGTTTTTCCTTCCTTGATTTTCATTATGGAATTTTAAAACAGCTTCTTAACACAAGGTCACTGAGAGAAGCCACAGTTCTTTCTGGATCGGGTTTATTCCCCTTTATTTCCTTCTCCTGAAGGATCCAAGTCCTGTGACCTCTTTTTTATTATTATTTCCTACTCCTGCACGTTGAGATGACCCTGCTTGACTCCAGCTGGGAAGGAAATCAGCTCCCTCCTTGTTCCTTTTCCCCTGTTCTTGCTGTTCTCCTGCACCAGCTGAGACAACCCCGTGCTGCTTCTTAGAGGGAAGGGACCTTAAAGATCACCTTACTCCATTGGCAGGGACATATTCCCCTGGATTTTACCCAGGATAAATTCCTGGGCTGTAGGCAGAGCTCCCAGAGCACTGGGAACACAAATGAGGATTTAGGAGAGGAAGCACTTAGCAAATCCTTAAAAAAACAGAATAAAATAAGGAAATAAAGCAAAAAAAACCTAGGAGTATTTCTAACCAATTAGGCCTACTTGTCAGAAAATTAAGTCCTTATCACACATTCTCAAGCCTAACGTCCTCGTTTCTTCTTTCCCCTAAAAATAGCCTGTTCCCACTGGGATTCGGAGCCTCTTTCCGGCAAAGAAACCGAAGGAAAAAAAGAAAAAAGGTGACTCGACAGAACATCTCTTTGCCTGGAGATGAGGGAAAACAAGTGAACTGCCAAGCCAGGGGGGGAAAAAAAGGGGGAATTTCATAACCTCCAGAGGTGGTGCTGGGCACGGACGTGTCCCGCCTGCTGCCCTAAATTCGGCTCAGCCGCTTCCCGGGAGCGCCGGGTCACAGCAGGGGAAGGAAACCACCGTGTGTCTCCTCTGAACCAAATCCCCAGGCAGCCCAGCCTGCTCTCCAAGTGTTTTGTTCCTGACACAGAACTTTTCCTTGTTTTCCCCCCCTCGCATCTCTCCCGGCCCCAGTTTCAATCAAAGGGGGCTCCCTTTAAGCAGCCCCAGAGCTGCTCCCGGCCAGCGCCGGCGAGGGAAGAGAAGTGTTGTCGTCCAGAATTTAAACAACCACCCCAAGTGTCACTAATCCTTTCCAAAACAACCCAGGCATCCTTTGGCAGCTCAAGCCGAGATCATACAAACAGATAAAAACCCGGGAAAGCCACTGAAAGAACGGGAAAAGGCAGAGAGGTGCGTGGGGAAATCACTGATGGGAGAGGATCGAGGGGTTTGGGGCCCGGTGATCCCTCGGGAATGTGGATGTAGGTGTTCCTCTCCAGCACTGGAGGCTGTGCTTGGAAGGGAACACCAAGGTCATGATGGGGGAAGTGCAAGAGTCTGATCTAGGGATGAAGGATCTGGGCTCTGCCAGGCCAGGATGGGAGCAGGTCCTGGTGCTGATGGCACAGGCTGCTGTGTCCCACATGGAGCAGAGCCCACCCCAGGATCCAACCAGGTGGATCATAAACCATGGAAACATCCAAACCTCTCTTGCCCTGTGACCTCACAACGCTGTCAGATCCCAAACTGGGCTGTCCAGTCTGTCCATCACCCACGGGTGGATGGAGCAGGAGAAAAAAGGGGAGCGCAGGGCAAGAGCAGCACCACAACCCATCCTGCAGCTCCCACCAGCACTCCTTTGCTGGAAAATTCACAGGAAAGGGATAAAACCAGCACAGAAGAGAAGGGGAGCGATTCCCAATGCTGGAAAAGAAGCACCCCCAAAGCACCCAGTGCCAAGGGCGCTTCCACAGCCGGACAACCCTCACCTCAGACCTGCCCATTGCCAGGGGTGGCAGGGAGGAGAGGACATTCCCAGGGGTGGCAGGGAGGAGAGGACATTCCCACTCCACTGAGCACACACACACAGAGCCATTAACATCCTGCCATAGCCCTCGAAACGTTTTCTAAATGCTGCTACAAGTGACAGTCGCTCCTTAATGAACAGAACGCACCGATTCTGCGCCTGACTCGCTGCCAAGTGTGCCTGGAATCATCTGTGGTGTCTAGAAGGGAGTAGCGTCTCCTCCTCCTCCTCCTCCTCCTCCTCTCCTTATTAAAAAGCTCCATCTCTCCACAGCCTGAGCATCCCTCGGCTCCTGCAGGGGGGAAGTCACCCCTTCCCTGTCGCTCCGAGGACGTGACCTCCTGGACAGGGATCACGGAATCACTGCTGGGTTTGGGGTTGGAAGCGACCTTTTAAAGGCCATCTAAATCCAACCCCTTTCCATGGGCAAAGACATCTCCCACTAGGCCAGGTTGCTCCAAGCCCCATAAGGATATGGGGCGTGGGAAGTGGATCCACCACCTCGGAGCTGGCTCCCATGGGAAACCTGCCACTGGATTTCTCAGCAACCCAAAGGGATGGTTGGGTCCAGCCAGGCTGAGGCAGCTGGTTGGTAAATAGTGGTCCTGGATTCCTGTGGATAGTAGGAAGGGTCACCTTGGAGATTGTCCCACTGGGGACACACACACCCCCGATTAAGGAGCAGGCTCCTGCTGCCATTCTGGCTTTAGCAGTGGCCACAGACACTCCCCAGCCACTCCCCTCCCACTCTTCTCCAGGGTGGCTGAAGGAGGTTTAATGAACTTTATCAGCCCGACACAGCTGCAGGGGCAGGAGGAGGGGTGTCTGTCAGCCACACCAGGGACCTTGAGACCAGCTGGGGATGGTGGCAGCCGGGAAGGGCCACTCCATCCCTACCTGGGCACAGGTGTGTGAGCCCCGGGCTCCCCTCCCCATCCCCCAGGTGTCAGCCGTGGAGCACAGGGATGCCCCACCAGACTCTCCGTGCCAGCCTGTCCTTGGTTGGCACCTCGACCAGGTCACACAATCCCCAATCCAGGAGCACCTGCCCTTACCCAGCCACCCCCAAACCTGGACAGCCCACGGGGAGGAGGGCGAAGTGCCCCCCTGGCTCATCCTGGAGCATCCCTCAAGTACTGCTCTTCACCGCCCCGCACCCTTGGGCTCGCGGGGCATAATCCAGCCCTCGCGCCATCCCACGGGGGGCATGGACATTCCCACCGTGACCCTCCACCCACCCCTGCCGCCCCCGGCGGCGCCTGCGGAGCTCGAACCCGCGACCCCCGGGCCCCGCGCCCCCCGCCCTGCGCCCCGCGCCACGGGGGCCCGGCGGGACGCGCCAATCAGCGCCCGCCGCGGGACCCGCCGCGGGGCAGGGGGCGGCGGCTCTGAGTGACAGCCGCGCCGGCCAATCGCGGGCGGGCTGCGCACCAATCAGCGCGCCGCACCGCGGCGGGGGCGGGGCTAAGCGGAGAGGGGAGCGGGGAGACCCCCGCCCGGGGTTAGGGGGGTGGGGGAGGGACGCGCCGCGCGCAGGGACAGCCCCCCCACACACACTGTGTGTCCCCCCTCAGCCGCCTCCCGCCGCCGGCACGGTACCTGCTCGAAGCGGGGCTTCCCCAGCTGGAACGGGGGATAGTCCGCCGGCTCCGCCATCCCGCAGGCGCCACTTTAAACAGCCTCCCCCGCCGCC